CAATGATGGTCCACACCTGCATTGCGGATGTTATCAGTGCTCATGAGATGCAGTGTGCTGATACTGTTGCTGTCGGAGCCGCATGAAGTGACGGAGCTGGAACACTCGAGCCGCAATGCCGAGCCTGTTTGTTTCTTCCGCACTGCTCTTGCGAGGGCAATCACGCCTGTAATGCTGTTCCGGCGAAACGAGCAGGCCATGATGCCGATAATGCTGTCGCCTTCGTGGTTGGCTGTAGGCGTTTCGGTGAAACGGATTGGCAATGATGCGGATGATGCGGCCTGCGCCGCTGCACATGTAAGCGCGTGAACCAGAACGGCTGAACAGACAGGTTTGATGTCGATGATATCTTGGAGCACGCCCAATCGGTGCTTACAAGACCTTGCATCCGGCGTTTGCCTGTTTCCATCATGCAATATACAAGCCTTAGTTTCCAGAACCATACATCGTACCGTTACAACTTCTCAAACCTTCCAATCATCATGGCCCTGTACTTCATTACAGAATGACGTCGGCAAGAAGCTTATATGCTTTACCCTGCAATGGAGACTCTCTATCTTGATCCAGAGCATGAAACCAGCTACCCATCGAAATCGAAACGCTCACAGCTCCTGGCACCGCCAGGTCGCACAGTCTGCCAAGGCCGGATTTGGGCCATATTTAGCTACTTACTAGTGACTATTGGTGGGTATATGTATTCTGTGACCACCTGTGAAGTTGTGTTCAACCATTGCCAGGGGAAGCCAACAAAAAACAGCAACTGCATTGGGAGAGCCCAGGTCCCGTTCATGCAAAAGCCATAAGGTTTTCATGCTGGGGTTTATAGGGTTCCGGATTTATGATTTTGGATGTACGGTTCAGTGTTTCAGTTCAGGATACTTGACCTGATTTCGATTGCCGACGGAAGTGGTATAATGAATGCGAAGCAAGGCCAAGCAACAACATCTCCTGACATGAATGTGTGGCGATGTTCCGGGGATGAGTTCACGCAGTCTTAGACATACTGTTTGTCCCTTCGGAGACACTTCAGTTTAAGTTCTTCTTTGGTGCTGTATGTGAGGAAGGGAGAGAAAGCTTCCCCTGGCCATGAAGCCGGATGCAGAAACACGGTGCGAGCCCTCTGTTTTGCCAGAAGTGAAGATGTGTCACAGCTGATGACAGGCACCTCAGACAAATAGTCACATAACGTTGCGACCTTCTGCGTCTAGCTTCTTGCCTTTGTTGTCATGTTTTGGTACGGTGCGCCATCAACTGGCTCTCTGCATCTTGATTTGTCCTTCCCACTTCTTGCTTAACTTGAACGACTCGCCTGGTCCGAAACTGCAAACCGTAAAGAACCCAAGTGTTTTTTAACGAAAGCAGGCCTTGACCTGCGTAAGATCCAAAACCATGCCCTCGACACGCTAGCTCCGTCGTCCTCACAGAAAAGCCAGCATCACTATCATGACGACTAGAATGCAAGTGCCCGTATCAACAACAAAATAGCTAGTCAATTAGTAGATAGATGCGTTTCTAAAAGGCGGTCCAGATCGCGATGGCTTTCACGGGGTCGCAGACGTCCGACTTGCCAGCAGCTTGTTCTGCAAACGAGGACTGCGTGCTGACAATTTTGAGACTTCGTCCTGAGTATAAATCTCCAAGCCTTCGCCAGCCCTGAAGCCTTTTGTCGCAGAATCGGCTAATCCTGCGCCGGTAGGACCAAGTAGTCCAATTGTAGGGAGAGGCTAATTTTCAGGCGCGGTACGCACCGAATGTGAAATTGCAGTGTGAAGGTCTACCACAGAACAAAGGAACGCGCGGTGTACCTCGTCAAACTACCGAACATCAAGTTTCGGAGCTCATGAAGTTGTGCAAGACGACGACGACCACAAAATCGGCTGCTACTGCTGCTACTTCTACTTTGTGAACCAACCAAACCCTGAAAGCCCCGGGGCCGAAGCTTCGTCAGGGCAATTGTGGTGAGCCCGGTAGTCTTGATCATCATGCCGCCTCATTCTTCATCAGCAAATCAGGTTCTTGCTTCCCAAGCTGCGCGACTTTCCGCCGCTGCCATTCATCTACCGGAGGCTCCCTGTGGAGCTTGAAAATCGGTTGAGCATTTCAGGGTTTGAGCATGGGTTTAGATTAGGGTCTGTGAGTTCGCAGCCCTTGTGGTCCAGTCTGGGTCTCTGCTGCTTGAGGCCTCTTGCTCGCGCATTGTTTTTGGGTGACTCCGTTTGTCCCATTTCCGGCTGACACTCTCAAAACTGAAATCCCTGAGCGCTATACCACACTTCGGCTAGACTGGGACGGCGTCCAAAGCAGTTTGGCTTTGCAAAGCCATGGAGTGGCAGTGCATCCCGGAAGATGGGATCTAGGCAGCCCCCCTAGACCCTGCAAGATAACCTACTTTGTTTAAGGTTCTTCATTGTGCTTTCATTATGAGCCCCTATATAGACACATAGAGCCGTTTAGGGTCTGGATAGTTGAGGGATGAGCTGGTTCGGAAAGCTTGGAACCACAAAGCCGGGAACAAAGGACTGAACACCCCCTGCCCTCAATTCTTCGAGGTTGGGTGTTTTCAGGAGCAGCTTGGACATCCTACTGGTAGCTAATTTCGGTTACTGTGGCATGACAGGCCATGTCTTGCCTGAACTTGGCAATTCTACGGAGATAAACGCTCGTTGGGTGTCCTTCGTATTTGAGACATGCTTGCACCCTTGCTGTGTCTGCGTGGGTAGGATGTCCATTCGGATTGAGACTTCGGTTTGGACGGAGCGTCTACGCCTATGAGAACCTCGAGGCTGCAAGAACGCAGAGTCCGAGAATCAAAAGCAACCCGAATTATTGCGTCGGCATTTCAGATCGCTGCTTTGGATGGCCATTTGACGGTTCACGATGCTTTAGCAAGTTTAGGTCCGAGCGTGCCAGCACTCCCGTCCATGTAAAGCAAGATGCTCCGCGTACAGATGGTTTCTGGAGAGGAGGTGGCAGCTGTTTCTGCAGAGACGGCTCAGGAACTGCGAACTGTCTGGGCGTTGAAGCACCGCCTTCGCAGGTTGAAGAGCTTTCCTGTGTGCCTGCAAGAGTTCGTGCATGATGGCTGCAGGCTGGATGATAAGAGCACCCTGCAGGTGCCCATGGATGTGCAGCTAGTCCTCAAAAAGTTGCAGGCTCCCGACCCGGTTGCTTTCGTGGAACTGCGGGATGCCGCAGGGGAAGGCGAGCTTGAGGTTGTGCGCTTGCTTGTCAACTCCATCGACTCGATCGACGGATGTTACCTCATGGAAGCTTTGCAGGGTGCAGCATGCCATGGCCAAGTTGAAGTAGTACGCTTGCTATTGGAAGCAGGAGCAGCCGGCTACTTGGATTTCTGGACCTGCCGTGCTGCTCTCATTCCAGCAATCGCTGCGGCAATCGCTCGCGGCAGCACTGAGATTGTACAGCTGTTGCAGGGAGCCGGCGCTAACAAGGATTTCGTAGACCCAGCTGGCAGATCACTTCTCATGTGGGCCGCTTCCCAGGGCTGCACTGCAGTTGCGCGCTTGCTTTTGGATGCGGGTGTGGCCAAGGATTTGACGGACAAGCTAGGCAAAACAGCCCTCATGTGGGCATCCGCCGGCGGACACATCGAGACCGTCTCCGTGTTGTTGCGTGCGGGAGTGGCACAGGATGTGGCAGACCAGCAAGGCAACACTGCTGCTATGTGCGCCCGCTTGAATGGCCACGCCGACGTTGCAGATCTTCTAAACCAGTCAGACGAGGCACATCTTTCAAGTCACTAACTATAGCGATGTTTGCCAATACAGCTAGCGGACTCGCAGCACACGTGCCAAAAGGGGTGGAACACGAGTATTTCAGGAACGAGTCATATGCCCAACTGGAACTGTCGCCGAATTACGGAGGCCAGCTTCAAGAATGACTGAATGTTTGTGTTGCTTCTGTAGCCACAGTAAAGGTATGCCGACAGCCAGCAACTGCCACGTACCCTCGCCCTGCTTGGACATCCCTCCGCCCTTGTCCAGACAAAACGGAGATCTACTTTTTGTCTTCAGCCACCTTGTACGAGTTGACCCTGCGAACAATCGATACCTTTCGTCCTTGTGCTCTCAACCCAAACCAAATCGAGCAGCCACAACTGCCAGGCCTCTCAGACGGCTTTGTCGGATCAGGCTCGACAGCTGGAGGTTGTTCCACAGCCGGGTTTTCTTAGACGAGATGTGCAAACCTAGGATAAGTGGGTAATTAGGGCTTAGGTTTCGTGTTCAGGGTTTAGGATTAAGTTGGGAAGATCATGGGGGAGGAGGCTGTCATGAGACCGGTTCTCAATATGCGCCCAAGGAATGCAGAGCTGTTGCAAGCTACGCGCGCCTCGAGCGACATCAGTTTCAGTTCTGTGAGAGCTGCGATATTCTCATGATGATGCCCAGTCTTATGCTCCGAATCCCGATTGTTGCCATCATCACTGCCGGTCAAGGTGCAGTATGTAGTAGATTAGCCGTGATTGTCACTTCTACTACGGCTATTCTCAGCATTTGAAATGATCAGCTTTTTTTGTCAACATGTCGTGCCTACTGCTGCGGCATGGTTCTTGCTACTGTGGTGGCGACAGCAGCGACGACGAAAGCGAGTACTACTCTTCGTCTGGCTGCCACCTACTGCTGCCGCTGCTGCTGTTCGTTGTTCAAAGCATCATCATCAGCGCCACGGCTGGCACCACCGCCAGCGCTACCATCACCGCGGCCTCTGCCGCCGCCGCTACGACAGCCACTACTACATGCCGACAATCATGACGACGAGTCGAAAACAAACCTGTGTTGGGTACTGCCGCTTCTGTAGAAACCCTACCGTTACACGTTTCTCAGTCGCTTGTTATTTGCTACCGTGTTTGACCGCGTTTGCAAGCAACGCTGTTCTGGGGGGGCATTCAAAACCCAAGGCCTGAGCTCCAAGCAAACTTCTCTAGGAGCACCGGCCAGGCAAAGCAGCAAGCCCTCGACATCCAAAAGCACTTCGAAGCGATGGTGGATTCAAGCGTTACGGTGAAGAAGGATGTGCTCCCAGGCACGCGCTCGCTTCCGCTTCAGGGTGCAAGGCTTGGGGATGTTGAGGGTAGTATGCTGCTGTCAGGTTATGGAAATCTGAGATTTCAGAGGGGTATGAAACGTTTTCGTACGATCGGCCCCCGAACACTCCCTGGTAAGCTTCAGGTCAAGAGCATGCCGGTACGGTTTGTGTCAAAGTGTTGTGGATGAGCCATTCAATTCATTGTGCACTGGGTGGCTACACCCAAGAATCGGGGAAGAACACGTACTCCCAAGGGCCCAACGGTGCACATACAAGTTGCCACGCTTTTCTCATTAAACTCACCATCCCCGTCCTCCTGAGAAACTTTCACCATCTTTCACGGATTAAGTTGTGCATATTCCAGAAATGCAGTGTGTGCGGCTTCATTGACTACTTGGCGATGCTGAACTTAGGATTGCAGCTAGGTCGACTACTTGCAAGTACCCCTGAACCACAGAATGATCGAAAAGCCCCATGGATCCCTACTGCCTAAACCTCTATACGTACTACCTATGAAACATAAACCCCAAATCTCAAACTGAGTACCCTAAATTAGTAGTAACTTAGTAGTACCTATGAACCTCAAACCCTCAACCCCTAACTAACAATGTACCCTCAATCAGGAGTGCCTATGAATTCTTATGAACCCTAAACCCCAACTACCGCAATAAGTTGTACCTATGAACCCTAAATCCTAGCTAAGTTTCCTCAATAAGTGGACCTGTGAACCCTAAACCCTGAACCCGAAATAAGTAAGTAAGAAAAGCCTCTAAGTCGCAAGTCTCAACCCTAAATCCTAAACGCTACTCCCTGAACCTTCCAGTAGGAACAGGGACGTGCAGAAAGAAAACGAACCTTTCAGTAGTTCCTTGAAATCTGGCAGCACTTAGGCCTTGGCGGCATTGCGAAGGCATCTTGATTGCACTTTGGGTTTGGCTGGGGAGGTGTCGCCCTACAGTGGGGCTGCACGGGTTCTACAGTAGGACTACTGCTAAGGCAAAGGGTTCTTATGTCACAACTGAAACCCCCTTTTCATGAGAGTCTGGGAATAGAAAGTCTGGTAGACGGATGTAGGGAGTCCCAGCCGGTATGAGTATCGAACTGAATCATCCGACAGCGGGATTTTTCATTTCGACACGCTCTCCACAAGCACACCAAATCCCCGATGTCGTCGGTCAGCGGAAAACTCCACGCAGTGGAAACCTAGGAGTCTGAGGAATTACGAATACGATTCCTGACGGGGTTCCTTTTTCGATCTGTTGAAAAGATGTGCCTCGAAACCCTGCTCGGATTTTTAAAAGCCCTTGCGTGAAAGATATCAAGGGGGCTTGGTGTCTTATTGAAAAACGGCTAGAAGCCACCTTCACCTCACAGACCTACTTTAAAGCACCAAGACCAGTCTTCTTAGCAAAATGGCCTTATGAACAACAGAACCCTGAAGGTCCATGTAGGTAGTAGCCATACACCCTCCCAAGTGTGAACCCATTAATTTCCTTTGGACCCTTCAAGAAACACCCCATGCCCCCTAAACCCTAAAAGCCCTAAACAAAGAAACCCTAGGCAAGTCCGGGCGTGAGTGCTGAAACCCTGAAACCCTAAACCCTAAAACCCTAAAATCCCAAAGCCCTAGCACCCGGAACCTAAGGCGCAGGGAGACAAAGCATTGGGGTCGATGCCCTCTCGGTTCGATGTGCGCATCGCGGAAAAGGCCCGGCCGATGTTCGCCAATTTCCACAAAAAAAGCCATGAGCCCTGAGAATTGTATATGATGTTATAGGGTTTAGGGTTTTGGGCCTTGTTGCTGTTGAGGAACCTAGTTTAAGTTACCATAATGGGGATATGTATGTATAAATAAATAAATATAAACAAATAAATGAATACATGAATAAAAAACAAACAAATATAATGTATATATGTATATATGTTAATTCATAAGGTTTCTGTATTTACTTATTAACATTCTAACAATTGAGTTTAAGTTCCTGAGCAGCAGCCCAGAAAGCACCCTGAGCCTTTAGAGCCTTACAGGAATGTAGCCGGGTTTGGTTAGGGCCTTGGTCTTGAAATCACGGTCGATGCTGGAAGGAAAGGGTGTATTGATGTAGGGCTTTAGGGCGCTAAAGGGTCTGACACATGTTAGGGTTTAGAGCTTTGTCACAGCTCAAGGGTTTAAAAGCACGGTTTAGAGTTGAGCCGAGCCTGTCACGAAGAATCCACATGCACTTGCGACGAGCTGTAGGAAGTTCGAATGTCGGTGTCTGGGAGTGTTGCTACTAGGTGGATGAATAGGGGTTGTTTTGTGTCAGGAGGAATCTCGATGTGATAAGTGGTAAGCATATCCATGACAGCACAGCATCTGCAGCTTGAGTCGCGAAGATGTTGTTGATTTTTTTGGAGCCGTAAAGCAGAAACTTTCTCCAAGACAGTGAACATGCTGCTTCCCAGAAGCCTGCACAACAACCCTGAAGCCCCAGCCTTAAACCGCTAACCGCCAACCCCCCCAAAGCAAGATCCTGAAGCGAATCAGCATTTTGTCCGCTAGAATCAGAATTTACTATTTCGTTCTTGGTTTTATTGTTATTGTTGTTTTCATGATCATCAGTATTTGTTATTGTTGCTAGTACTGCCATTCTTGTACTATCTTCAGACCGCTGAGCAGGTCCAGGATGCGTCTGACTTTGGTGAGCTTCACGTGCCTGGAAGATCCAAACACCTGCTCTTTTGAGGGGTACCCGGATATGCCTTTTTTTTTAAAAAAAAAAAAAAGGGGTCAGAACCTACCATTGGGTCGGGTTTGGGATACCAGCTAGACTTTTGACTTGAGGCCTTCCGTGTTCGGTTGCGAGTCTCGAGAGGCTTGTCGTAGCATGGCATTGACAGGCATGTTGACCCTGCATACCTTGCTGAAGGCCATGGGGGTCACGGAGAGGCTTTGGTAGCCTTCGACCATGTCAGACACCACGGACAAGTTCAGTCGCATGCGGAACCCTTGAAGTTCGACACTATTGGGTATATGCATAGCGAAAGCACGGCAGTGACAGAGCCAGGTAATTATTGTTGTTGCAGTCATCTTTGATGCGGCGCGTGGCTTGCTATGCTCGTTGAATGGATCTTCTGCCACATTCGTCCTAGTCGGGTAGTGGCATGGATGACAAGTACACGGTTCCTTCGAGGTATACATGAGGTTGAATGTGTGTCTGTGCTGTGTAGATGAAGCTCGTTTCGAGAGTTCGCATCCTCTATTTTGAGGCCACTGCCGCTTTGGCGTGCTTCGTTTTGGCAACACGAAATTCGACGCTTCCGTTACTTCAAGGTTTGTGCAGAGGACTCATAAGCACATCTCGTTCAACCTCCTTGAGTGGTCCGATCCACGAAACCTTTGTGCAAAGTTAATTACAAGATTTAGCTGCCTCCAGACAAATTTTCAAAGGAGCAAGGTAGCTTAGCAGGTGCTGTGACGCATGCAGAAGCGTTCTGCACCTTAAGGACGTCATCAGCCACGCCATTGACGGCACCACAGCAGCGAAGCTTTCTGCGACCACTGCAGCAAAGGTGGACATTGCAGCCAAGGATGCTTGTGGCCAAAGGGAAACCCTTCAACCCGAAGCACTACAACGGTGAACCAGCCCTTCCTTCTCGAAAGATCCCCAAAGCTTGAAGCCTGGCGGTCATGTTTGGAAGGAGTCGTGGTTTCCATATCCCTGTTTTCTGGTGGTGCCCTGTCCTTGGGTCCTTTAAACCCTAAACCCTAAAAGCTACCCCTATACAGCAGACCTCGAACCACATGCCTCGCCTGGAGTGTCTGAGTGTGAGCACCGAAAGCTCCCCCGCCACCAAACCCTAAACAACAAGCCCTAAACTAAGTCTTAAACCCTAAATACCCTATACCCTAAACTAAGTCTTAAGCCCTAAACCACAGTCGTTGGGGCCCTTCGGGCTCTGCAACTCGGCGATCTCAGAACGATCAGGTTTAGAGTGGTCAGCAGATGCAATGACCGAGTGGCGGCCGAAAGACACGGCTATTTAGGATTTAGGGTTTAGGGTTGCGCTCCTTGTGCTTTGAGTACGGGAATGTCATATCAACTGCAATCAGCGCTGCTGCTGTGTCTTCCCATGGTTTGTGATGCTTGTTATATGTAGTTGTCATTTTTAGTCTTGCTTGTTGCTGCTGCTTTGCGCGCAACCTTCGCAGCAGACTACCCTCGTATTCTGTTTTATGCTTAGGTTCAGATAGCGACACCTACGCCACACACGCGGCCATCCCCTTATGTATACAGACACGGTTCAGAGGTACGTATGCATACTGCACCAAACCATCACCATGATTCCACTATCTTATGCGCTTGCTCTTGTCATGTGACTGCTGATTAACTGTTGCCTTCCTCTCGAGCATAGGATCCCGAACTGCTGTGTTCAGCAGCCGGGAAGCGATTTCAATCAAGGATGCCAGCCGGCTCTGGAGAAATCCTGGGATTCTTCAGCGAGATCCTAGACCTGAGCCCGAACTCATGTCATGAGATTATGATATAATATCCCCCCCCAAAGCCTCATTCTAATTAGTATGGCCCATATATTCAGTCCTATACAAAACTAGCCAAAACCTTGAAGGACGAGCCATTGGGCAGTCAATCTGGCATGCTCCGAGAGACAGAAGGCCGCTTTCATGAAGTTCTTAAGGCTTAGGGTTTAGGCTTAGGGGTTAGGGGTTTAGGGTTCAACAGAGGGCAAGCGAAGAGTCTCTTCCCCCCAAGGGATTAGGGTTTAGGGTTATAGGGGTTAGGGCCAAACAAGGGATACTATGAGGGTTTGGTATTTGGTATAGTGTGTCAGGGTTTTGTCTAGGGTTCCTTTAACGCTTTCAGGGTTACCATGAGGGTTTCGTACAGGACCTTTCTTACTGGATCAAGATTTTTTGTGGCATATCGATCGAACAATGATGTCTTTTAGTGCACTATACTTCTGCGGGATGGAAGTGCAATACGATTCCGATCCCCGGATTGGTTCGGTTCAGGGCCTTTGTTTTGAGGCTTAGGGCTCAAGCGGGTAAGGGTTTTAGGATTTCGGGCGTGAGGGAGGAAGGGGCGTCTTTGCTTGAATGGTTAAGCGGCCTTGAGATGGCACCGGCTCCAGTTCTTCTTCTTTTGACGGTAACTTGCATTTGCCGTGCGCAGTTAGACCGACATTTGGATGCTGAGTCCGGCGATGTGTAAGATCCCAGAAAGGTCGGACATGTAGCTTTGCAGTGAGATGCGGCAGTCACTTACACTTATGGGTCTGGGTTACAGCTCCGCTTGCCCCAACGGATGATAATGTTACAGTTTTTGTATCATACAGCAGGACAAAACTCAACCGCAGTGCCAAGACCCACATCAACCAAAGTGTCATAGAGCGCGGTTTGCTGATCAAGGTAAGGGGGCTGCCGAGAGAACGCGGTTTCAGGTTTGGGCTTAAGGCTTGTAGCTTGTTGTCGCGCCAATCAAGATATGAAGCAGAACTGGAGGTTCTTCTGAGAACTTGGAACATGACGCAGGATGACGGTGTGAAAGTTGATGGGTGTTTTGAATAGTATTCGCGATGTCAGAGGACTTGCTTCAGATCTTGCAACATTCGCTTGTCTCGTTTAGGGTTTAAGGTGACTTTATTGCTATGTGTTATTCTATTCAATTCGTCTTCCAGATTCACGACGCCAACTGCAGATTTTTCAGCCTATCCCTTTTGTGCTTGACGAACATACAGTATGTGTTGCCTGGTACTTCTAACATGTAATGCCGCCTTCTCTTTACGTGCTTCCCACATAAAACAAGCCGAGAAGTAACAATATGTGATCATGGGTTTTCTATTCGGAACAACTCACTACGAGCCTGACGCAGCAGTAACAGCGCCTTCTCAACACGGTAGCAGCAGCACCGTTTGGCTTTGCATGTCTCACACTGCTTTAGTTTACAACGTTATGACTCAATGGTAATTCTTATAAGACTAGCATCGGCCTAAAACCATGTATGTAAATTTGTACGTATACATCTACGGTGTACATATTAGGTTTGGGCGGCATGGCTACACTTACACGCAGTCAAAATTTGAATCAAATCTTCACCCATCGAACCTGCGTTTATCTTCAAGTTTGTTTGCCTGCCCTTCCCATGCCGACACCCAGCTGGCTCCCATCGCAGAGAGCAACACAAGATCAGAACCACAGCTTGGTGTTGCAAGCTGCAACATTCGGATAGCTGCCGTGATACCATGTGACTACCATCTCGCTTGGCGAGTCCTAGGATACGAACGGTACTCACTGAGTCTCCTTTCTCGCAAGCAGCAGGCCCCTCGATCGAGCAGAAGCGAAGCTTTATGTGGTGCTTCTTGGAAGTAGCCCACAATGTGAGAGAATGGGGTCCAGGGTCGATTGGTCCTTTGGAGCCCAGCACTATCGGACATTGTGACCATGTTCTTCCACGATGTCCTGTAAGTATTAGGAATCCTTTTCTGGCGACCTCTTAAACTCCATTCGTGTGCAGGTTCTGGGCTTGCTTGAATTGGAAGGAGAGCCTCCCATACATGTGTATGAAAGGAGCGAGAGGTAAGAGTTGCTAGCCTTTGTATGGTTCAGCGTCTGAGCTTCCAGCCGAGAACAACAGCTGCGTCAATTGATGTCAGCTGCATCTTGAGGTGCACTGCCCTCGTCGTGGTGGGGGTGCTCGTGTTTGCTGGCGTCGTGTTCATGGTCATAGAGGCAAAGGGGATGCTGCAAATCTCTTCTATCTTAATCACTGACTACCAATGTGCGCCCTACAACATCATGCAAGATTGCAAAATCATCCGGAGCATCCTTTTCAGTTGCAGTTGCGAATGCAGGACCAAAGACAGTTCCCTCAACTCATGTTGCAAACGAAACATTGGCTTGGACCAAACACAGGAGTTGAAAAGTGCTTCAAGACCCAGCCACAGCTCCATGTCGTGAGCGGTGCTTTGGGTACTTGAGTTGTGTGGCAACTGATGTTGTTCATTGTCGTATCCTGGTTCCGCTTCGATGTCCAGCCAGAAGCTTCTGTTTGAGCACACCGGGAAGGAAGCCCAAACTCAAGCCAACACGTAGACTAGAAACCCTCGACCGTAGCCCGACATCGGTTCGTCTGAAACAGCTGAAGAAGAACAATGCTCCTGCAGGCAGGAAAAGGCAAGAAGAGCCGCCGGTCTGCAGATTGGGGCTTGGGGTGTAGGCTTATATACCTTTACGAATATGATCATTGCGAACGGCGAGGGGAATGGCACCAAGACTTTTCACGAAACCAACAGTCGCGTGAGTAGTGCAAACAGAAAGCTATGCAGTGCAGATACTGATAATGAACATATTGAGACTTTGACTGAAGGCGCGGAGAAAAGAACAAGAGGATGAACGATCTTTGCAATACTACACTGTGCTATACACTACAGTATACGCTACGAAGACTATACTGTCTAGACTGTACTATATTTTGCGGCACTGTACGTTTCTTTACGTTAGGCATTAGGGCTGGCAGAGATGGTGCACTGCATCCGGGAAGAAGTGCTGTGCCCTTTTGTCAGGGCTCCCCAACTTACTTCTCGACCAAAATGTTCAGTTGCCCCTAACACCCTACACCCTAACCCGCCGTCTCAAGCTTGGCTGAGTGGCTGGGCATCTGAGGAGGCCGGAAACGACTGAGGAAGACTCGGTCTGGCACTCCTACGTGTCTCTTCTCATTCATCGTATTCATACTATATTCTCTATATAATTAATATATAGCATAGCATAACACAGCACGGCATAGTGACGTATAGTGTAGTATAGTGCGGTATAGTGTAGTGCAGTCTAGTATAGTAAAGTATAGTAAACTAGTGTGCAGTATAGTGTAACATAGAGTTGTATATGTTGTGTAGTATGCATATTAATAACATTTCTCAGTGGGTTCTTGCACATTGGAACCCTTATTACTAATTATTCCTGGCAATGAGAGTCTGCGCTCGAGTGGTTTTGACATGTGTGCTGCGTTTAGAGGGCATGAAGCATTGTTTTCATGTGTTGTTTGCCCTAAACCCTAAACCCTGCCTTGCTATGTAGGAGGGAAAAAACCCTCAACCCTAAACCTGGCACCTTCAACCTTACCGTTCAATCCCGGCATGGCCTACGGATTACCGGCCATCCTGTGCACACTTCAAAAAGGATCACATTTTTTGGAGCAGCCCTCTACTTTTGCCAATTGTGTGTCTGTAGGGCTTGCAAGGACAACGCATTGAGGATTAGTTTTTCTGGGGTTCGAATCTTGCTCTTCTTGGTGGAAGCACGGGAAGTCACATGATGTCAGTGTATTGAGCATGGTATGTAGTATATGCATGCCCGTATGCACATGCACACAGGGTCACAAACGCTCGCATGGTGGGGTAGGTCCCGGACGGTCCGGGTAGAAGCTCAGAGTATATTCACAATAAGCATGTTTACATGTGAGCTCAGCTTTGTATATGGAGGCGCAGGCAAGCAAACCCCAAATCCTGCATGATTCATGGGATCCTGCCATCCTGCTTTCTGAAAAAGCTTTTCCACTCAACCCTGTCATCGCAACATTGGGTTTTCAATGTTTCTAAGAGCTGGACACATTCGGGACTTGGTTGTGAGCACATACATGTTAGTACGAAGTTGTGCCAGTAGTCGGAGCACTGCAGTTTCCGGCGCAAGAGGTTGTGATAGGACAGAGCCTACAGCACCAAATTCTGTCTGTCTGCATAACCTTCAGAACTGAAGTAAAACACCCAAAGGCACCAAAACATCAATGTTCATGAGTTGGCCCCTGTTTCTTCTTGCCCGAAGTTCATCGATTCCTTTTTCATGATTACCCGAAAGCCGACCGAAACCCCATCGAGACGCACACGAATTCGAAACCCCAAAGCGTGTGAGGCCTATGGCGGGTTTTGAGGACTCAGACTCGGACTTACTTCTGTACGCCGATGAAGCGCCACACCGTGGTGAACCTGCTGGAGGCACATGGATGCGGAATATAACTCCAATCCTCAGCCCTGAGTTTCTGTCGGTTCGAACATAGGCATGTGAGCTCTTCGTGTGGATCTAACAATGTAGCCGCAATGTAGCCAGGTTGATGAGATAGGATCAGATAGGCCGTCAGAACTGGCGCGGCAAGTTCTCGACAAGGAGGCTGCTTGAGCTACACGTGTAGCAACATCTTCGACAGGAGTTTTGGCCATTTCAAACCTCGGTCGGATGGCTCAGGGACCCAACGCTAACTACTTTGCGGACCCAGGCGCATGCGCAATTCTGACGCAGGCAATCCAAGAGCCCAAATCCAATCCCAGACCTAAATCTGGAATGCGTGCCGCATCTTGGACCTGATCAGACATTATAATTATTGCGTAATGCCGGGGAGGCCCCAGAGAGCTCAGCGCGCCGCCGCAGATGACCTCCCAGGCTGCGGTGCCGCTGCCTGTCTGGGGCAGCCAGGCCTGGGCTCCGGCTCCGGTTCGGGAATTTAGCGTAAGTTATCATAGTCCAGGAAGCCAGCAATTTAGAATCGATATGTGTATACATATATATATATATGCTAC